GGGAGCATGGGCGTGCTCAGGGTCGGGCTGTGCCCCGGCCTCACGCAGGAGATGGTCCAGCTCCTGAGGAGCCGCGGGATCAAGACAGGTGACCGCGTGTGCACGTGCCAGGGGGCCGCGCACAGCCTGGGCCGACCCGTGGGGGCCGGCAGCGCTGCCCCTCAGACTTGCAGGGCGCCCCCCGCCCCTTCCTGGAGGGCGCTCAGCCCCCGCGCTTCTGGAGGCTCGCGAAGGGTGGGAGTGGGGAGCCAGGCCTTGAGGCAGGCAGGGTGAGACCCCTACTGTGTGCCGGGCACCCTCCGGGTCCGGCGGCTGTTATTTCACGCAGGCCTGCAGATACTGCCGGCTCAGGAGTGGATGGACACCCCGTTTCCAGATGGGGAAAAGCCGAGTGTGGGAGGAGGCCCCAGGCTTCCCTGCCAACCAGCTACACGCGTTTGTTTTCAGTGGTGGACCTGGTTTCTGCAGACCTGGAGGAGGTAGCCCAGATACGTGGCCTGTCTTACAAGGTGAGCTCCCGATCTCCACTCTCCAAATCGGGGCGTCTTTAAATGTCCATCCTAAGCCAAGGGAGCAGAGGGCTCCCGGAGATTAATAAGGGGGGGGTGCCTATGAGACCCGGGGATGATGGCCCCTATGGGCGATTCGTGGCTGAGCCATCTGGGCCCCTTTCGCAGGCCTTGGTCGCCCTGAGGCGGGTGCTGCTGGCTCAGTTCTCAGCTTTCCCTGTCAATGGCGCTGATCTCTATGAGGAACTGAAGACCTCCACTGCCATCCTTTCCACCGGCCTTGGCAGGTTTGTATGTGTACTTGGGGAAGAAGGTGAGAGGCAGGAGGGCCCGGTGCCTCTCAGGCTTGGCTTTTGATGCTGAGTCTAGAGAGCAGTGTTTTTTTAAAATTTGTTTGTTTTTAATTATTATTATACAGATATGGGGTACAATTCAGGGTTAGGTATACAAACGTTGATTATGCAGGTACCCTTGTTGATGAGGTGTGCCCCTCCCTCCCCTAGCAGTTTCCCTCAACTGCCAATCCCACCACCCTTCCCTGACAGTTTCCCACTACTGCCAGTTCCTTTCTTATAGTATTATAATTGTTCAAGGTCTGCTTATGAGTGAGAACATATGGTACTCTGTTCTATGTTTCTGTGATAGATCACTAAGTATGATCAACTCTAAATCCATCCAAGTTGCTGCGAAGTTCATATGTTTGTCCTTCTTTATGGCTGCGTAATATTCCGTTGTGTATATGTACCACAATTTTTTAAATTCAGTCCAACTTTGATAGGCAGTATGGTTGGTTCCATGTTTTTACTATTGTGAATAGAGCTGCAACAAACATTACATGTGCAGGTATCTTTTTTGTAGAATGATTTGAATTCCTCCAGGTATACTCCCAATAGGGGAATTGCTGGGTCATATTGAAAGTCAATCTCTAGTTCTTTCAGAAATCGCCACACTGTCTTCCAAATAAGTTGCACTAGTTTGCATTCCCACCAGCAGTGTAGAAGCATTCCTTTTTCTCCACATCCTCGCCAGCATCTGTAGTTGTTTATTTTATTAATGATGGCCAATTTTACTGGGGTTAGGTGATATCTTGATGTGGTTTTGATTTGCATTTCTCTGATGATGAGTGAGGCTGAGCACTGTTTCATGTGTCTTTTGGCTCCCCATATGTCGTCTTTTGAGAAGTGTCTGCTTATGTCTTTTGCCCACTTTTTATTTTTTATATATTTTTTTGAGTTGGAGTCTCACTCTGTCACCCAGACTAGAGTGCAGTGGCCACCGCAGCCTCGACCTGCTGGGCTCCGGCGATCCTTCCGCCTCAGCCTTCCAAGTAGCTGGAACTACAGGCACGCGCTACCACGCCCGGCTAATTTTTTGATTTTTGTAGAGATGAGGTCTCGCCAAGTTGCCCAGGTGGGTCTCAAACCCATGGGCTCAGGAAATCCACTCACCTCAGCCTCCCAAAGCGCAGGATTACAGGCTGAGCCACCGAGCTCGGCTTTTTGGCCCACTTTTTAATGGGGCTGTTTTGGTTATTTTTCTCCTTTTGGCACGGGGTTTTTTGCCCTGAAGACACCTTGTGGGTCTAGGAGAAAAGCAGGTGAACACAAGAGAAATAAGCGCAGGGAGAGGCAGCTTGAGGAAGGTGTGATGAACAGGAAGCAGACTGCCCTTTGGGCTTAGAAAGCTTATAAACCCAGTAGAGTTGGAGAGAGCAGTTAAGTGGTTAACTGGAAGGATTGCAGCTGCTGTGGGTCCTTCAGGGAGAAAGAACGGCTCAGGAAAACTCCGAAGGAGGTGGGCCTTGGGCAGTGAGGAGCCAATGGGTTTTTGCTGAGTGCTTTCTAGGCATTGTGCTCAGCACTTCATGGCATATTATGTCATTTATTCTTCACAGCCATCAGTGAGCATGTTACTGTTAAAATCATCTGTCTGAGCCGGGCTTGGTGGCTCAGCCTGTAATCCCGTGCTTTGGGAGGCTAAGGTGAGTGGATTGCCTGAGCCCGTGGGTTCAAGACCCACCTGGGTAACTTGGTGAGACC